AAAGTAGCAATGCTGTTATTACTCAAGAGACAATGGCATTTTGGAGGTTGTTTATACTGAAACAAATAAATCTTCTTGCTCTACAGTTGTCTATTACTTTTATTGAATTTAAAGCTGGTTACATCATTACTTGCATTGCTACATCATCTATCACGTCACCCTTAATTCTGGCTTCCAGTGACTCTTGTGTTTCACTGATAATAAGCGCAAATGCAAATCTCTGGTCATGTTAAATTTACTACTCAGACTTTAACATAAATGAAACAATACATCTTTTGACCATGTTTTCTTCTAAACTCTTAGGACACGATCACTGCATTTCTACAATGTGACCTATTTTCATGTTACTTACACCTCTGCCTTCCATACACAGGGACGAACAGGAAGAATAGGTGAGGCGCCTGAGGTAAAGCAAAAAGAGTGTTCACATTCCTTCAAGAAATGTTTGGCAGGACTTTAAAACCAACCCAGGGAAGTATAATGTAACCACATTGATGGAGGTAAGAGAGGACATCAGCCGGAAGAGTCCACTGGTATTGCAGAGCCATGGTCCTCAAAGCCCTTGGAAGAGATAGGCATGGCCACCCTCAAAGACTGCATCAGTTCATATGGAGGAATCTGTAGAGAAATGGAGTGCCACAATGGGTGCCTGCAGCAGAGAGTGCTCTGGGTAAAGAATACCCGTCACCACTGCTGCTACCTTTGTGTATTGCAGGCAAAGGCTACTTAGGTGGAAAGAGCTCCTGCATGGCCCACACATACAGCTGAAGCTCAAGGACAAGTCAAAGGCCAGGGCCCTAAACTTATCTTGTGTTCAGTGTGAATAAGTCACCTGTCATAACTTCACAGAAGATGGTAGGGCAAAAATGGAGCTGACCTACATGATTTTGGAGAGTAATGTTTTGACTGGAAACTGTATGGCTAAAGACAAAAGGAACTATACATAAACACTGCACTCTTAGTAAAGCTGAATTTCATGGAGGAATGGGTAACTCTGAAACTCCTTTGTATGAATCCTGAGGTGGAACAAATGAGTAGGTGGAGGCTAAATGGTAGAAGAGAAGTTTCTTACTGTCACAGAGGCAAGGGAGAAGGCTAGAATAAGTCCTGTGGTTCTGAAGTCAGAGACATCAGTATGAACTCATCTTTAATCATAAAGATAGCTGCATAGACACAGAAGTGATTACAGTTGTGTGTGTGTGTGTGTGTGTGTGTGTGTGTGTGTATTTAAATGAAGATAGTAATATTAGTATTCATACTTACCTTTCTTTGCTCTGTTCCCTGAAATGGTCTAGAAGCAGTGATGCCCCATTAGCAATGAGAATACCCAGCACTCAGATCTTTGTAAAATCATTCTCTTATATAGAGAACCAGGCCTTCCTTAAGAAGTGGTCATTTCTAGGGCTGGGAAAGGGAGATATAAGACGAGCCAGAAGCAGCTTGCCATGCTAGAAAGAAAACAAAATATAGTCAAAGGGATAGGGAAGTCAACAAAAAAGGAGCCCCAAAGGCCAAAGCTGGAATAATTTGAGCAACTGAATAATGTGGCATTGAATTATAACCCAAAGTATAAAACATACATGAGTTTATACTGACGTAAATGAAAAATTAAATAACAAATCTTTCTTACGAAAATATTACAAATAAGACATGTAGATACTCCCCCTTTCAGGAGTTTATCCCTCTCCCTCTCTTTCAATGTGGGCTGGATTTCATGACTTGCTTCCAAAAAATAAGTGTGGAAAGGGAAGAGTGATAACTTTACAGTGGAGAAATCTGACAAACAGCACCTTAACCAAGTGATCAGTCTCAATATTCCCATGATAAATCATGTTGATATCATATCATAATCCCCCCAATATTGTATGAAAACAGGATTTTACACACACACGTGCATGCACACAGATCGATGTGCCTGCACCACTGTTACATTCCGGTGTACCAATCTTCCACAATCTCTTTTTGTTTGTGCAGGAAACAAAAAAAGCCAGCTAGCCAGAATAATGCGTTTGCCAGGCCACGCTCTAAAACTAGAGCAGTGGGTTTGGGTTCTGTTGACTTAACTGTCTGAGTTCCTCTGGGAATCTGGTCCACTCCAAGGGAAGCAGGGAAGCTGTAGCTCAGAGATTACCATATTTGGTGGGGGGGCGGGGGGGAATCTTTCTCCAAAAGTTTTAAGTTCCTCTTTGGTGCCTGAGACTGGCCAGCATGGCATTGCTATCGATACAGAGTGCCCAGACCCAGTTCTGTGTGGGTCTATTTTGGTGGCAGTGCTTATTGAACATTTTCTAGGACCATCTCTAAAGCCTTTGAGCAGCCAAGGCCCAGCCCACTATCTCCATTTCTCTTTTTCTGAGCACTCTCTGACTTCTGTGATGGTTGCAACAATTGTGAAAAAAATCATTTCATACAACCAACATGGACCAAAGTGGAGGCTGCTTATGGATAGGGGAGTGGAATGGTAGGGAGTGCAGAACAGAACATTGCAGAAATAGAAGGAAAATTTTTGTAACTTGGTACTAGAACCTTTTGTAAGCACCACACTTAAAATGAAACTATTAACCACTGTTATTAAGAACAAGTTGCTGAATAGCATGTACAGTATGAAACCAATTTGATAAAAACTAAAAACACAAACTAATAAGGCTATAAATGACTAAGTTTGTGAATTAATAGACCAAGATCTAATAGGCTCGTAAATTCATAGACAAAGTTCTGATAGACTTGTAAATTTATAGACAAAGTTATAATATGAGTTACCTCTGGGTGGCCCAGAATAATATTTTAATGTTTTATAAGAAACAGTCACCCCACAACTTCTGCAGTTCATTATTTCAGTGGATCTTCATCACTCCTTACTGTGTGTTTCTCCAGATCTTCTAATTCCCTCTTTAATTAGGATCCTCCAAACTTCTTACTCTCTTTGGGTGTTGTTACTCTAAACTGTCTTAAATTTCTTCTAGGATCACTCTTTTCCCCCAGTTCTGTCATCCACACTTATCATCATCTCAATCTCCTTTGTTCCTCACTATTTCTTATAGTGTCTGAATAGTAAAGAAAAGCCATGTTTTATTTTTTTGGCAAATAATAAGTCTTCAATAAATTTAACACCTACATTACAAATGGCCCTGAAAATGCTATTGAGTGATGGTATAACATTGCATCATATGGGTATTTTGTAGTATTATTAGCTATTTTATTATTTTTAAAAATGTTTTTTCTTTCCATAGGTTATTGGGGAACAGATGGTATTTAGTTACATGAGTAAGTTCTTTAGTGGTGATTCGTGAGATTCTGATGCACCCATTGCCTGAGCAGTATACACTGCACCATATTTGTAGTCTTTTATCTCTTACTCCCTTCCCACCTTTTTCTCCTGAGTCTCCAAAGTGCATTGTGTCATTCTTATGCCCTTGCATCCTCATAGCTTAGCTCCCATTTATAAGTGAGAACAATGTTTGGTTTTCCATTCCTGAGTTATTTCACTTAGAATAATAGTCTCCAATCTCATCCAAATCACTACAAATGTCATTAATATGTTCTTTTTTATAGTTAAGTAGTATTCCATTGTGTGTGCGTGTATGTATCTTATATACATATATACCACAGCTTCTTTATCCACTCATTGATTGATGGGCATTTGGGTTGGTTCCACATTTTTGCAATGGTGAACTGTGCTGCTATAACATGCACGTGCACGTATCTTTTTTGTATAATGACTTATTATCCTCTGGGTAGATACCCCATAGTGAGATTATTGAATCAAATGGTACGTCTTTTTCAGTTCTTTCAGGAATCTTCACACTGTTTTCTATAGTATTGTACCAGTTTATGTACCCACCAGCAGTGTAGAAGTGTTCCCTGTTCACTGCATCCATGCCAACATCTACTATTTTTTAATTTTTTGATTATGTCCATTTTTGCAGAGGTAAGGTGGTATCACACTGTGGCTTTAATTTGCATTTCCCTGATCATTAGTGATGTTGAGCATTTATTCATGTTTGTTGTTCATTTGTATGTCTTTTGAGAATTGTCTATTCATGTCCTTAGCCCACTTTTTGACACGATTGTTTTTTTCTTGTTGATTTGAGTTCATTGTAGAGTCTGGATATTAAACTTTTGTCAGATGTGTAGATGGTGAATATTGTTTTTCCCACTCTGTGGGTTGTCTGTTTACTCAGCTGACTGTTTCTCTTGCCATGCAAAACTTTTTAGTTTAATTACGTCCCAGCAATTTATCTTTGTTTTTATTGCAGTTGCTTTTGTGTTTTTGGTCATGAAATACTTGCCTAAGCCCATATCTAGAAGGGTTTTTCCAATGTTATCTTCTAGAATTATTATAGTTTTAGATCTTAGATTTAAGTTCCTAATCCATCTTGAGTTGATTTTTGTATAAGGTAAGAGATAAGGATCTACCTTCATTCTCCTACATGTAGTTGCCAATTATTCTAGCACCATTTGTTGAAAAGGTGTCTTTTCCCCACTTTATGTTTTTGTTTGCTTTGTCTAAGATCAGTTGGCTATAAGTATGTGGGTTTATTTCTGGGTTCTCTATTCTGTTCCATTGGTCTATATGCCTATTTTTATACCAATATCATGCTGTTTTGGTGACTATGGCCTTGTAGTATAGTTTGAAATTAGGTAATTCAACCCTTCCAGATTTGTTGTTTTTGCTTAGTCTTGCTTTGGCTCTGCAGGCTTTTTTTTTTTTATTCCATATGAATTTTAGAACTGTTTTTTTCTGAGGGAAAAGCCATGTTTTATATTCCTTACCTATACCATAGTTTTGTTCTTTTATTCATAGTTATTATATCAAAATATTATTTTTAATATTTATAATCTGTAACTTAGAAGAGTATTAATGTTTTATTTAATTAGCCCACAAGAAACTAGAAATCCTCTACTGAAGTGGAATAAGATAGAGCATTGGAACTTCCACAGAACCTACAGAATTTTCAGGATAGCAACACACCTTTGAAAAAATAACAGTGCTGGACCACTTTTTTAGATTCTTTTCATTTTTTATTAATTAAAGCACAGAGAAAAGAGGCAAAATGATTAAAGAAATTTATGTTTCTTAGACAGGGTGTTGGCTTTACACCAACGAAAAAGAAAAACAGATGAATAAGCTTTTGATCTTTATTTTCTCATGGTAGGCTGAAAAACAAAAGGACAAATATAAGTCCTATTTGCAAAATGGCTGTGTTTTTCAAATCTGTTAAAATAAATGCCAAATTACTTAGATCATTTTTCTGCAATTTCTACCAGTGAAAACAATTTAAGCCTGTTGTAGTCTTATGGCTGCTGAATTCTCCTTCTGTTGAGCTAGGCAAAAGGACACACCAATAAATGTTGTGAAGCTGCTTTTTCACCATTGGTGAAAGGGAACACCATTGGCGCTATCAGACTCAAGCTTCAAAGTCAGAGGCTTTTCATCATCACTCCTCAGAGTTATTTACTCAACCCCTATATCTTACCTAAGTTATTACAAGCAAAAACATACCTTCTCAAAGTTAGAACCTTATTAAGAAAATCTTTGCACTTAGGATGAAAACAAAGCACATCTTCACACTACCAAATTTGTAGAAATGCAAAGTTTCTTTCTTGCCTGAATGCATATGTAGGTATTATCATATGGGCAAAGAGGAAGTTAAATCATAATAGTAGTATAGACATCACAGTCAGTTTGAAAAATATGAAAATAACTCATGTTTAAAAAGTAGTTGAAGCCAGGCATAGTGGCTCATACCTGTAATCCCAGTACTTTTTGGGTGGGGCCGAAGTGGGAGGATTGCTTGAGCCCAGGAGTTTGAGACCAGCCTGGGCAACAAAGAGATATCCCCCATCTCCATTTTTTTAAAGTAGTTGAACAACTTAACAACAACATGTTTTGTTGTTGTTCTATTTTTTAATTCTCCCAAAATAATTCAAATAAAATAGATAAAACATGTTTATGTTCAAACATCTACATTTTAAAGTGGGCCCTTTTGTCATAAGAAGATAAGTACTATTAAAGCTCAGCTTGTTGACAAATTGGAAATTTAATAGCATATTGTTCACTATAAAGTTCACAGAAGGTAGATCCATCATATTCTCCAATAGAAAGAATGAGGTGAACTATTAAGTTGAGCCGTATGAAATCACTGATATTCAACTGTATTTGCTCTATAAAGTGCTCTTTCATATGATTTGGCCTAATTCCTAGAGTATTCCCTGCTGAGCCACCACTTACTTGGATGGCTTTTCAGGGAATACTCTAGGAATTAGTATGCCCTAATACAAATCATATAAGTTAGAATAGGACATATCAGTTTGAAAAGGACAATGGGTAACACTTAGACTTTGGTTTGAATTTTGAATTTTGTCTCCACCATTCACTAGATGGGTGACCCTTTGGAAAATTACTTAACCTATGTTTTGATGTTTATCTTCATTTTCTCATCTACAAAATAGAAATAATAATAGTTCCCAACTCAGCAACTATTTTGAGAATTTTTAAAGCTAATATATACATATATAAATAGTTTAGAATAGTGGTTGGTGCTGGTCTATATGGCTCTTGGAAACGGTCAATCTTTGCTATTTTAATAATTATTATTATAGTTACTTTTTAAAAGAAATCCAAAATATAGTTACCTGAGATGCTCTTAATTGTCATGTCTTTAGGCTAAGGCAGCTTGACTTGCAGCAACAAGTTTTGGACCCTGAATACAAAGAAATGACAGATATTAGGAAAATATTAGCTTTACTATTAGAATTCGAAACTAGCATTTATGAAGCTATTGATGATTGCAAAGTGATTTCATGTGCATCATATCCTTTAATTCCAATTCACTACTGTAATCTCTAGAAGAAAGCTCACAGACACAGTTGTCCCCAAAGGAATAAAAAAAAGTCATTGTCAGGCCACAAGGGACAATATTAAGTGATTTAGACATTTGAATGTAGATTCTCCCACCAACCTATAAAATCAACTAAATCACAAACCACCACTTTTCAAGAAAATGTTTAAATAAATTAATGTTTTGATTTAATGATCAAAATATTTCAGGCCTTATAAATATTTGTACCAATATTCATAAGCATCACAAATTTGGAAACAGAACAGGCATTATAAACATTTAACAGGATGGCACAGTAGAGCAGGAGATAAAGAGCTATTTTATTCATTTTGTAAGACAATTGTTTATAAAATAAGATCCCTGTCCCACATGTAAGAGTTTCCTTTGATATATAAATCCCTAAGCCCTTGCCTAGCCAAACATGCAAAAATGAAAACTGGACATATTAAAATGAAGATAACTGTAGTACCTCCTGAGCAAAGCAGCCCTCCTTATCGTCAGCCTTGCAGCACTTCTCTACGTAAGCTGCAAAATTCTCCATAACAGTTTTCAGTTGCTCTTTTGTTGCCTTTGGCTTGTGTTTCACGAGCTCAACAAGTGCACTGAGTTAGAATGGAAAAAGAAAAAAAAAAAACACCAGAAAAAACATTACTCACACATAGCAAAATGGAGATAGTAAGGATGGTAGTCCCATCATTTAAAATTATAAATCTTGGAACCCCCAACTCTGAGTACTTTGGCACTCAGGCATACCTCTATAGGTCTTAATAGTCTCATCTGCATGATGAGGATAATAAAATCCACCTTCATGGAGATCAAATGAAACAATCAGTATAAACCACTCATCATGTTATGTAGTGTCAACAAATATCTTTTCAGTACACCTCTGGAAAGGAGTATGTCATTGCAATTATATATTATTCAGATTTTGGATGTGCCACATTATGTCATATTGAGTTTTATAGCTATTTAAGAGCTAAAAACTTATCCTTAAAATTTAATTATCTTTAATATTATTAATAATAATATTAATAATAATAATATTAATAATAATTTAATTATTAATTAAATAATTAAATAATTATTAAATAATTTAATAATTATTTAATTATTTAATTTTTTTTTCATCTATAAAGATGAGAATCTTTATATTTGGTCTTTAAACTTTGCTCCATTCAAAGCTATTAGTGGGGAGGCTATAGAAAATAAGGCTATCCAAACTCATGGGAGCTGCTGGTTCTCTTTCATTGACATCTGCAAAGACAACAATGCCAGAGAGAGATTTGTGTGAGCATGACAGGTTTTGCAATATCACTTTTCAGCCTAGACCGTGATTACAGCCCACCAGAGAAGACAGCAACTTTCTATTGCTAAATTTCATGCAATTCTAACCCCTGTGATAGCAATAGGGAGTTAAGCTTCAGGGCTTGCATTTCTAGATGTTTTTTTATTCAAGTTTCATTCTCAAAAATCTCATCTTGGGTGTTTGTCTTATGTGTGGGGTCACCGTAGGGCAAACTTAAAATAATTATTTACATCTAGAAATAAATTCTTCTATGGTTCCTACTAAATAATTTGCCATGTGTGCAAATTTATCGGTTAATTGTTCATCTTTTTCTACTGATCATGGCCTAAGATGTTATTCTACTGTGGCTTTACTCCTCAATATTACTCTGAATAATTTTATCAATATTATAACAGAGGATTTTGTCTTTAAAAAGTTATTCATCTTATTCCGGGTACTTTTATCAGCATAATAAGGGCAATACTTTCCTCCAAGAAATATATCATCACTACTTCAGGAAAAAAGTTAATAATTTGAATTGACAGTTCTTGCTATCAAGACTACAAACACGTGCAGTAATGAAATACTCCTCACGTTTGTTTCTTGACTTGCTGCTCCTTCTCAGAAAGTGTGCACATATCTGCATGGAAGGTGAATGTTTCTGCATTAAACACTTTGGGAGCATATGTTTCATCGACCTCCAGAGCAGAAAAGCAGGGTCGCCTGTTCACCAAGGATTCCGTGCAGCATTTGGTGACTCTCTCACTTACTGGAGTTTTCTCATGCAGCACACACAACTGGTTGAGGACCACAGACAGCTAAAAACAGGCAGGAGAGCAAAAATTCAAGGGAGGTGAAGCTGAAAATTTTCCATGAACTTCTGACTTTCCAGTGCACCAAAATAAGTATTATATTTCAATTAGTAATGTTGAATCCAAAATTGATTTAAGGCAGTGATTTATGTTTAAAACAAATAAGGACTTTCAAAATTCTCTTCCTTTTAATTAAATGTCTACATTTCAAGAAGAATTCACTTGAGAAAATAATTGATGAAAATAATTTCAGGCAATATGTGCTGAGACATGTGTTACAGTGAAGAAGAAATATTCCTATAATGATACATTAAAGAAGAGATCCCCCAAAGAAAGTAAAAATTTAGAGAACATTAGGATGGAACCCTGAAAATGCATAAATTTTTAAAAAACAATTTATTATCTTTGGGGCGCTGGTTGCCAATATCACACATACACACGTGCACAAAAACATGAACACACACATTACTCCCTTATGCTCCTGAAAGTCAGCATTATCAATATCTAAAGGTAAAATTTTGTATTATTAATTTATTATATTTTTTAAAGACTCACATAGTCTTCTGCACAGGACATTCTTTTTGCCTCAGGCTGTTTACAACATTTGGTGCCCACTTTTCCTAGGCTTCTTGAGACCTCTACAAGAGTTGGAGTTGACACTTGAGGTACTTTCTTGGTGTAACGAACTAATAGCCTAAAAAAAAAAAAAAGAAGTCAATGTGTTTTCAGCCAGGCAAGAAACTGTCTAACATAGAAAATAAAACAGAGAACACTTGGCCAGAATCAACTAAAATGTTCCTGTGTTCCATTCTTCATATTATGTCCATCTGAGAGTAGTGGTTTAGTGTAGGGGGGGAATCTTGCTACTGAACAACTCGTTAAACCTGGCTTTGACTTCCACCTGTAACATTTGTATAATCTTGGGTAAGTAAGTTACCTAATTCAGTGACATTAATAAATTTATTAATTTCTTTCTTCTTTCAGTAAAACCTGGAGAGAGCTTCACGTGCTACATTTGAAAGATACAAGTAGAAAATGGGAGGAAATATATCTGACTCAATAGGGGTAGTTCAAGGATTAAATTAAAAGTAATAAAACATTACAATCAATCCGACATTGTATCTAATATATAATAATAATGTATTAAGAATGCCAATTACAATTAAAAGTCAACATATGACTGTAATCTACTTGAGGGAAGCAACTATGTCTTCTTCACTGTTATTATCCCTAAAACCCATAATCAGAAGAGCACTATGTGTATGAGCCACACAATAAATATCTACTGTATAATATGTCTCTTCTTGTTTTTACCTTCCTAGATAAGGCTCTATTGAATTGGGACATTAGTCCAGCAAGCCATTCTGTCGCTATCTCTTCTGTGGAGAGAAATTCCGTAGAAACACAAGGTTTAACCAGCAAAGACTAGGCACATCTCCCAAGGAACTTAAACTTAATATTCAAATATCTAATTCATTTTACTATATTTTTTTTTGTTCAGCTTATATATTACTTTTTGAGCAACTGCTATTCAAGGCCTACTACTTCCTGCTCTACAAAATATTGCCATGTTCTATTTGTCCATTAACTATTCCAAGATTTGTTATTTGCCCTCCCAGGCAACATACTTCCAGTCTTAAGAACAATTTTTAGACTGCATTGAAATATAGGCCTCTCCAACCCATCAACTATTTTCTCTCTCCTCTCCTATCTTTTGTGACAAAGAGTGATTAGAAATACATAGCGTATTTTCATTCTTAAAAGTTCTATGCTAGGTGACTCATATATTAAGTCTTAAATAATTACAAATTGATCAAGAATCAGTCAATAAAAATTACTTACTCATTCTGGAATTTGTACTCTCCAAGCTGCTCAAAAAGTTCACAGTTCTGTTTGACTAATTTCTGAGGATCTTCCACAAGAGGCTGGAATTCATCAAACTGAAACATAAAAGAATTGAGTTGATAGTACTACACCTGAGGATCAGATGCAGGTTGTTTTTCACCCCTCTGGTCAGAATGACATATTTCCTCCTATCTACTTAAATCCACAGGAATAGATAAATATCAATGCCACATCTGTCACATTACATTCAAACTATTTATTTGGTGAGCTTGCATCACGTAACTAACTGGCTAAGAATATTCAGGCTCTGGAGTTCAATGACCAGTATTTGAACCAAGTCATCTAACTCATTCTTCAGCAGTGCAATTTTACCTACCATCTCTACACTTCAGAATCCTTACCTCCAAAATAGGGGCAAAGATGGTACTCATCTCACAGAGCTGCTCTGTAAATAAATTAAGCTAATGAAATTAAATACTGCCTCCATATAATAAAAGTTTAATAAATGATGGCTATGATTATACATATTACTATTATTAGTTCCTCTTTCCAGTTACATTCAGGGCTTTCCAAAATGAGAGATTTTACCTCGTTCATTGGTTGTGCATGGTGCGTGGCATACGGCAGCTTCTTTATAGAGGAAAGAATGAGTTTTCTTTTATTCTGAATAGTTTGGAAACCATTACATATGCTAGTGGGGACCCTAAAAATCTTCCAGAACAGATTTCCTCTCCTAACTTAATTTCTTGTAGAACTATTCCTAAACCTTTTCAAAAAGATTTGAAAATATTCTAAAGGGATGTATTCTACAATTTCCCTTAAGATATTAATTCTAGTACTTGATAAAAGGATGTTATCATGATCCAACAATCAAAATGCAAAAATATTGGAATCAGGCTAACTGACTTTACATCTAAGTTAAATATCTTCTAATTAACATTTAAATTTACTTTAAATTATTTTGTTCTCAGGATTGTGAAGAAAAGAAAAAATGATCAAAATTATTTAGTGATTGCTCTGTTCAGATCTTTCTTTTCTAGACTAACTATTCTAAATTTTGTTAAACATTCTAAGGCTACTTTTTCTTAGAAAAGTAGCCTTAGAATTGAACTGAAGAATTGAAATCATCTCAAGGAAAGATCTAAATTGTACTGTGTATCATTTTACATTCTTGCATTATTTTTCTTTCTCATTATTGGAATCATCAGTCAAAGAATCACATTTTTTTCAAACAATAAACATACCACTTTGGCATAGCATCCATGGGGATCTGCCATGGCACAGCATTTCTCTAGAGTGGCTTCATATGCCTTGGCAAGTCTCAGCAGCAGCATGGGAGAGTAATCAGGATGCCTTCTTGAATATTCATACAAAAACCTAATTAAGATGAAAATAAAATAGGCTTTGTTGGACAAATTAGCACAAAAAATCACAAAGCTAACCTCAAAAGTAAATCATATTCCAAAAGTCTTAGTTTGACTAAACCCCAGGCAGTAAAGCTTAGTAGCTAAGGACTTGGAGTCCAGAGTTAAAGTTACCAAGGTTCAATTCCTACCTCTGACACTTATTTTACTGTGTTGTCTTAGGCAACTTATTTAGATGATCAGAGCCTTAGTCTCCTTCTTGGTGGAATGGAGATAATAATAGTGTCTGTCTCAGGAGGCGGATTATGAGAACTATATGACATAATCTACACAAAACACACTGCTTGGCACATATGAAGTGTTTGACAAATGATACCTGTTATTTTTATTAACATTTTGTTTGATTTAAACTATATCTCAAAGGGATTCTGATAAATAGATGGGTAGAGATATGTTCTTAAATATTTTCTTTCTTCTCTGTATGAGTGAAATCTTGCAGGGTACACAATTTTATGAAATATTATTTAGTGCATAAGATATTATCATAATCCAACAATAAAAATGCGAAGTTTGTCACCACACTTTCTGACAATATGCAAACATTTATTTTGTAATTTAGTTGCATACCATATTGCCGTTATACTGAACTTCTGGTCTTTTAACCAAATATAAAGCATGTGGTATCAGATTCTATGCTTCTTTTTACAATTCTTTGCTACCATTGTATACCTTAGATAGACTAGATTAGATTAGTTAGATAGGTAATACATAGTCACTCACATGTATTACAGATATTCAAAAAATACACTTTGAATGAATGAAGTATATATAATTTATGTATACACAAAATATTTCTAGGTATTTTCAGAAATGCCTCTAAGGAGTAAGGAATGCTGAAATTTTGCCATGAGCATAAATTATTTTATGACAATGTATTCAACAAATTAACTATTTCAAAAACTGTTAAAAGCTGGGAAAGGGAAGGACGAAGAAACATGCTGGGCAACAGGGTAATTGTAGCAACTCCACAGAAAAGCCTAGACTATCCTCCCAAGTTGTGAGGTCATACCAAATCTATGAAAGAATAACTTCTTATCTACTTACATGCCCAGGAAGACATCTTTTGCCTCAGCATAGTTTTTGCAAACATCCTTACTCTCAACAAATTCAGCAGCTAATTCAGGCAAGTCAGCAGGCAATTCATCGTTTTCCACATGGGAAAGGCAGTGGGATTTTTCCAACAGAGGTTTCTCACAGCATTCCTTCAGTTTACTGGAGAGTGAATCTTGATTGTCACACATATACTTGGCAAGCTCCGCCTATAAGTAAGTTGGTGGAAATTGTTCAACATAAATTGACATTACTGCACTTTCTCCTCAGACCTTTATTAAGTTGGCAGAAGATATTCATTTATTCTAAGACCATACACATGTACCTTCTATGAACATACTCTGTTTGCTCCTAAACCTGGAGATATAGATAGGACTACAAAACATTCCCACTTGATTAAAATAGACTAATCAGTAGCAGGTGCTCAGATCAGTTATTTATTCATTTTATATTTCTATTGTTAAGGCATTTAAGTTTTTTTATTAAAACTCAATGCTCTTTTTCCAAATAATCCCCTGAAATTAAGTGCAGGCATTTTGAAGCCAAATAACTAAATAATATGGAAGATTTTTGAAAAATGAGTCAAGATCATAATCATAGTCATAGGCCCTGCTTACATACACAAAATAGCTGCCTTAAATTTTCCAGAAAGTGTCATGAGAGATTAGGATTCTAGTATTTGTCCCTAAATTTAATCCTTGAAGAAAGGGAGAAAATCTTGTAAGTTTGGAGAAAAGAGATATCATTCCAAGTATTTGCATATCTAACAAAGAGAGCTAATTAAGGGTGGGAACATAGAGAAGAAAAATATATCATTTTCCAAAAATCTGTTCAGGTAGTGGCCTTCTCCAAGTCCACCTCCCTCCCTCCAAAAAGCTTCTTAGATATCTACCTTGCAGATGTTCTATCAAGTAGAACCTTGTAACTGTTCTATTTCAGTTTAAACCTTTGTTTACAGTTAGAGCATGACTGAAAGGGATTACAAATCAGTGAATGGGTTTATCATGTAATTTATAGCCAGGCTGAAAAAGAAAAGTACCACCACCACAGGCAGGGAAAGGTTGAAGATAGGGCAGATGGAAGCACAGAAGACAATCTCAACCCACTGTCAGCTATCACCAATGATAGCAAACTCAGCCATTCTACCAACTGGAGCATGCAAGCTAACAAAGAGCATACTGATAACTCTTTACCCTGTCATCTGCACATTCAAGCAGATCTCCATGGCAGCATTCCGTATGGACTTTGGTAAGATCTGTCACTACCTTGGTAACTTCTGCAAAGTCAGCTTTGGGAAATCTCTGGCTCAGGCGAGCTACTGACCTAGAAAGAAAATCACCCATAAAAATAGCATTATCATGCAATATTTTTTATGAAAGCACTAGGCAAATACTATTTCTGATAAGAAAATTCAAAACTAACATACAGAAATAATTTTTTAAATTGTACTTTAGGTTCTGGGGTACATGTGCAGATCATGCAGGACTGTTGCATAGGTACAGAAATTATTTTTAAAATTCATTAGTTCTAGTTCTCAACCAAATGTTCATCGTTTTTCTTTAGGGCAGAATTATCCATTTAAGAGTGTGGTGGCAGACAGAAATCTAGCACATCAAAAAAGCAAAAATCAGAAAGGAACTCCGAATGGGGCAACACGCTGAGAGGCATCAGGTTTGAGTGTAGATGTGACATCCAGATCTGGCTTTATCAGATTAGCAGTCGGTCTCTAAACAGTTTACTCAGCCTCTCTCAGCTTCAGCCTCTGCAGTGTCACAACAACGTGCTAAACTGAAAAATTGTTTTGAGGATCAAATTAGATAATACATTCAAAAGCATTTTATAATCTAGGGAGTACTACACCAACACCAGTTGTCTTTTTTCTCAATTGCAACATATTCTTTCTAACTTCTAAAGGTCTTTTAGAAAAGAAATCTTATAACTTCTACAGAATGAGGGAGTTTTTACTGATCATACTTATAAAAAGAAAAATCCAGCACCATCTTTAAACTCTATGATAAGATGTAAAAGTCTAATTTTCTTCTTTCTCTAGTCATTTCACAGTTGCCTAAATCTGATAAAGGAGACTTCTTTCCCAGAACCAATCATAACCTGTTTATCTGTGTATATTTTTATGTTGGTCTTGTTTCATTTATAAATTTGGTTGATTTTGGTGGTGTAGGTCATAGGAATGATGGGCAAATACAGTTCAATTGACAGTTTCTAGAGAGCATGCATAATGTCTATTATTTTCATTTTATCTCCTGTTGTGTTGATTTGCTGTTGACTAGCAGGTAAGGAGTGAGGCTGAGTGGACAGCTAGTATTTTTCTTGGCTCAGATATTAAAGTATGCACCCAGAATCAACTAAGTAATATATAAACAGAGGCCCAGGCAAAAACCTGAGATGAAGATCAGAGCTGGAGCTATGCAAGAATAAGAGGTAACTTCAACTTAGTCGGTGACTGAATTTAACTATCAGGACATAAAAAGACAAACATACAGTTTTAGATCATTAGGGGAAGATAAAATTAAATAAAGGAATTATATGTGCTATATACTTGTATCAAAATGTCTCATATACCCTGTAAATATGTATAACTACTGTGTATCCACAAGAATTAAAAATAACTTTAAAAATTAAATAAAGAACCATGCCTACAGCTCTACAAAAATAATCAACCATTAGAATAAGAGTCCAAGTTTTTATAAATAAATAGAACTTAAATATCTGTCCTTTTTTTAGAACAAAAAGGACAGTGTCTTCTAAATTCTTTGACTATTTAGAAAAAAGATTAAATATAATGTCAAATTGTCATTGATATTCTGATTTTTACCTCTACTAGAATTCTACTTTTTAGACAACCAAAGAAATGTGTCTAACAGCACTTTTCAAAATGCATAAAAGTGTTCAATTTTGACACTGAAGTACTATCATTTATATCATTACAAAGATGCAAATTATGTTCAAAAACATTTACCATGCTTTGAAAGCTCTGTCTCCAAATTTCTGAAGACTGGCACACTTCAATCTCTGTTTGGCAGATGCAGCCTTCCCTTGATCCTGAAGTTCATCGAGCTACAAAAAGGAATCATTTGGCAAAAATTAGAAAAAAAATTCTACTTGAGACACCCCTCCATAACCTCAGATGAGACTGTGCCAAATTAAATTTTGAAAAGATAGCTTATGCCTGAATTCCCAAGTACTCCCTTTGGTGAATAATTATTTTATTCTGTAAGAAAAGGAAAGCTTATTCTGGTCATAGCAGAATTTCCCTGTGTAGTTAGAAACCAACTGGAAATATTGCCAGGGAAAAGAGCCTTAAAAGTGGGAGAAAGAGTAGGAAGAAAGCCTTAAAAGCGGGAGGAAAAATAGAAGAAATAGTACACTAATATCCCAGGGACTGCAATTTTGCTAATTTTTAAATTTTGTGTATAATTAATTTCAGTCCCTCCTCCACCAACTCTTCCAACAACAGTAGAATTCTCAGAAAAGAAAATAGAACACTCCATAAAGTATACTTATGAAATGAATGCATGAACTCAAGCATCTAGATGCAGTAAAATTCTCTACTTTGGATTCCCTCTCTAATAAAAAAGATCATGAAAATATAAACAAGAACTGTGGCCCCTTGCTGTGCAATTTGACAAACAAATTTCAATATTTCACTATAGTGATCACCACCATAAAAAGTGGTGAAATATTTAAACACATGCATGGTGATTACCTCTGTCAGGTTATTACTGGCAAATCTTAAAAGAAGAAATGAGACTGTAGGCCTTCAAAGTTGAAAGATTTCCGGGAGGTAAGAGTGGGGAAGGCTTTTTTGACCATGTCAAGAAGTTTATATCAGACACTCAGGTTCCCTAAAACTAGCCACAAAATGGTCAAAATCTGAGTCTGGACTATGAACTCTTTTTTTCTATTCTTTTGCACAATACCTTTGGCAACAGGCAGGCACCTTTATCAGCAGCCTGGCAACATTCTGTAAAGGCCGCTTTATACTTTTGAGCAAAGAAAAGGAGCTCTGGGGCATAGAAGTAAGGATGTCTTCTGGCAACTTCATATAAGTATCTAAATTTTGAAAAAGAAAAACAGTCACTTTTCTATAGTGGACAGTATTACAGAAACAATTGTAATCAACATTCTTTCCAGAACTTCCAAAACCCAAATATATTTAATTAACCAATTAAGCTCAATTTGCACATGATGGTCTTGTCTTTGTTATCCTTTAAGTCTGTGAAAAAAGGGTTAAGTTGTGTGTGTGTGTGTGTGTGTGTGTGTGTGTGTGTGTGTGTATGTTTGCATACATGTTAAATTTTGGAAATATAACGTTGCTGACTAAAATCAAATCAATTATAGTAACTTTATATTCATATCTTCATAATATATTAATATGCCAATCTCAAATTTTTCAGACGGATCATATCCTGTTTCAATAAACTCCAAAATATCTTTGATTCTATTTTTTGTTATGTAGAATTCTGTGATATCAGATACTACTTCCTTAAAAACTCATCATAATAAAACTTCCAAGTCTTAATGTTGAAAATATTTTTGTTACGGTAATTTTTATAGTGAGTGTTGGCCTATGGAGTTACTCCATACTTTTTAACTTTGAAGTATAAACATCTGATCACTTACTTTTTCAAAAATGTATCTGCATTTTCCTGAAAAGCACTGCACATCACATCTACCTCTGGTCTGACCAACGGAGGGAGGTCTGGCTTGTCATCTTTGTGTTGCAGGAAGCATTCATTTCTCTCAGGCTCTTGTTTTGCACAGCAGTCAGCCATGTCACCATATTTTTCACGAAGAGTTGCAACTGTGCATAATTTGTCTCCAAAAAGAGTATGCTAAGTGGAAGAAAGCAGGTTTCAATTGCTTGGCAATTGAAACTATACTATAAACCTTTTTTCTTTATAGCCAAAGAACAATAGAAAGAGTTTAATATACTGGTGAAGCTTGGTCAGGAAATCATTTAAAAATCCACTTCGCTTTCCAATCCAGATTTAGAGTTTCCCTTGATTTAACCATCTCTGTATAATTTTTCTAAGAATTAACTGTCACACTATAACTTACAGTGAATAAAACAGGGCAAAAAGACAGTCAATAGCTTTAAGAAAAGTTACACGACTCCTGTTTCCAAACCTAAAACTAAAGGGTAAGAGCAATAATTATAACAAAAATAAGGTAAAATAAGCTTCTAAGTAGCAGGTGAATTCAGCTAGAGGAGAAAAACATTGAGATAGCTTCTCATTTCATATGCCCCCTTCTTATAGGGCCATTTTTAAATATATGTCATTCAAAACTGAGGAATAACATAATCTATCATGTATTAAGTGACTATTAAGATGTAAACATGTTTCTATATTTTCTATTACCTGAAATCACTTTCCATTAAATGAATCCTTTCCTTGTCTCTAATTTTTATTATGAAAGTAATTGTAACCCCAGGGAGAATATATTACTCTAGACGGAATTTTAAGTTTTTTTAAAAATGTACTTTTAAGAATTCATATGTAGAGCCATAGTATTGTGTAAAGTTAAAGTCCTGACTTTGCTGTGAGGGAGAGGTAATAACAAGAAGGGGAAAGGCTCCCCTTCCTGTGTTGCTGGAAGCATTCATTTCTCTAGGGTTCTTGTTTTGCACAGCAGTCAGCCATGTCACCATAGGTTTCACAAAGAGTTGCAACTGTGCATAATTTATCTCTAAAAAGAGTATGCTAAGTGGAAGAAAGCAGGTTTCTTCCACTTAGTGGTGAGAAAAAGATAAACCTGTCCTTGTTTTGAAAATTGATCTGCAAATGCTAAAAGTTTAAAGTTCTTCAAAATGACTAAATATTCTGCTTTTGTACAGTTATGTAAAAACACAAAGATATCTAAAATGAGGAATAGATAGCTGTACTATTATTCCACCCAGGTAAAAAAATTAGCACAGAAATCCGTTGGTGTTTTCTGATGATTAAAAACCATGCTATCATCTCTAAGAGACAGTAGCTCTCCTATGTTCATTGCAGCACTATTCATAATAGTCAAGATGCAGAAAGCCAACTTAATGTCAATCAACAAATGAATAGATAAAGAAAATGTGGTATACACATGGACTGGAACATTATTCAGCCTTGAAAAGAAGGAAATTCTGCAATAGGCAACAACATGGTTGGCCCTTGAATACTTTATGCTAAGTCACTGGGGTCTGTGAGGGGGAACCAGAGAGGGACAGTGGGGGGTGAGGAGTTGGGGAGGGATAACGTGGGGAGAAATGCCAGATATAGGTGATGGGGAGGAAGGCAGCAAACCACACTGCCATGTGTGTACCTATGCAACAATCTTGCATGTTCTTCACATGTACCCCAAAACCTAAAATTCAATAAAATATATTAAAAAAAAGAAAAGAAAAGGTAAGCAGGACATGATACCACTTATATGAGGTAGCTAAAATAGTCAAACTCAAAGAATCATAGAGTGTAATGATGGTTTCCAGTGTCTGGGGGAGGAAAAAATGGGGGGTTACTAATCAATGGGCACAAAGTTTTAATAAAGCAAGATGAGTAAGCTACACAACAATGTACCCATAGTCAACAATAATGAATTTTACACTTAAAAATGTAAGAGGGTAGATCTCATGTTAAAGGTTCTTACCATAACAAAATAAGACAAATAAATAAATACAAGCTATCAGATCACTATTAGCCTCTGTGAAAAGAAATCAAACCTCAAATTTTAAAAAGCGTGTTACTTTTGAGTGTTGCTGACAAATTGAGTCATTTAATAATAATTGAGAAAACTAAAAAGAAAAAAAATCATTTGAAATGCTTGGGATTACTTCAAAGGGAAGAAAGAATCTCCAAAATTAGAATGTACTTACAAGTGATTTGTCACAATTTTCAGCTGACTCATCAGCAACACATGTTTTTGCAAATTCAGTTACTTCATTCACTAATTTTACGTGATCTTCAAATGGGCATTGCTGAAGATACTGAGAAAAGGCAACCAGCACCCTGAAACAAAGGACACAAAAAAATGTAGTATAATAAAACTTCAATATATAATTGGTTGCTATGCCAGAGAAAAAATCACGTATGGTTATATATTCTATCTTTTATACATCTTCTTCACCATTATCCAGAAAGCCTACTCATATCAGGTATTATCTGAGACCCAGCTAGGCATATGTGTCTTCTTAAGCAGAGGATAGTATTTCCCTAATGTTTATATGCATGCGTGTGTCAGTAGATGCACACATGGATCAAGCAAGCATACTGTATACCAAATAGATCTAATTGTCAAGACTAGGCATTTTGAAAGTCCTCTGAGTTACTTAGAAAACAAATCCCACACACTTTTTTGTTCTTTTTTGAGACAGAGTCTCACTCTGTCACCCAGGCTGAAGTGCAGGGGCACAATCATGGCTCACTATAGCTTTGACTTCTCAGGTCCAAGAAAAGTGATGCTCCTACCTCAGCTTCCCAAGTAGCTAGGACTACAGGCATGTGCCACCATTCCTGGCTAATTTTTTTGTCTTTGTTTTTGAGAGACTTGCCCAGGCTGGTCTCAAACTCTTGGGCTCAAGCCTCCCAAAGTGTTATGATTACAGGTGTGAGCCACCACACCTGATCCCCACACACCTCTTTAATTAGCCTGTAGGATTACGTTGACTTTTAAAAAACAAATTTTTCTCACTTTTTTACTAGATTAAAAAATATTTAAATAATCCCAATTAACCACAGGAGTGTTTCCTATGTAAAGGGGATTTAGTGAGTGGGCCACCAAAGTAAACCTGTATTAAACTCCTTTCCACCAACCATGTTCTGTATGAGTTCCACAGCTATACTGTCCAATACAGTAGCCATTAGGCACATGTAACTATATACATTCAAATTAACTACAATTAAATACAATTTAAGGTTTTGTTTCTCAGTTGCACATGTCATATTTGAAGTACTCAATAGCCATGTGACCAGTGACTACTATATTGGATAGCCCAGATACAGAATATCTTCCTCAATACAGAAAACTCTATTAGACAGCACTGTTTTAGAATCTGGACCCTGATGACAAGGAAATATAAGCATTTTAGAATAATAAATAACACTATTAGAAACATTAAATTTGATTCATCAATATTTTAACTTACAGGTCTTTGAAATTTTCTTCTCCCAAATCTTTAAACCGATGAGCAACCTCACTCTTGTCTGGGCAGAGAGAGAAGAAAAAGAGTTGTGAAATACTGAGGAAAACAAGTAATAATGTTACTTTTTATATTTCTTTCCATTTGACTTAGATTATGCATTTACTTCAAAATATTGGGCACTGATTCTTACAGAAAAACTCAGGATGATGGTGAATTATTTATCCTGCCTTTAAACAGAAGAATAATTCAATTACCAAGAATACTATTATTAAAAATATTAAATATTTATAGCTTTATATTGACTTAGATTATCTAATACTCTTAGTGTCTGTTAACAACTACTGAGAAGACAGGCTGAAATGAAAGTAAATATAAATACAAGTTCTATTTATGAGATCAACAGCACAGGTTTTGTGATTTTTAAATAAAGCATAGTGCAATGAATAGGTCTTTGGGATAGTTACGAATTCAATCTTCAACTCTATTCTGTGAAGTTTAAGTCATTCTGTCTAAGTCACTCTGCACTTTCCTACATGTGCAAAAGAAAATTAGCCACTAAACAATTCTAACCCTTTTTTTCTTTTACCTAGGATGTTTGAAATTTATTAATAATATAATCTTGTAAGGCTTCACAAATACAAAACGTCATCCCATTTTAGAAATAAATGCTGAAAGAATTCTTTAAAAATGTAGCTTACTAAAACTTTATGTTACTAGGAAAACAGAAATAAAAGTTGAACAATAGAAAAATGAAATTCTTACGTGCATCTCGACGAAACACACCCCTGGAATAAGCCGAGCTAAAGAGAAAGAGAAGGGAAATAAAGGTTACCCACTTCATTGTGCCAAAGGCTCGTGGGGTTGACAGAAGAGAAAAGCTAGGACAAATGGAGAGAAATTAGCACTAATATACTTCTTTAACCAATAATTGTAGATTATTAACTAGACTCATCTTTGTATTTCATTGGCTCCCAACTGATTACAAAATTCATAATATTCTTGCCAAAAAATTGTTTGACTAAATCCCTTGTGTGTATTTACCTTCTGGAACTGTTTTCTCCACAAGACCTTGTCAATGTATTAAAGTTGTGTAAAACATCTTATCAAATTTTACATAAGAGTTTAAAGATTTTGTACCTTTTATTCACTACCATGCTCTTTAACTGCAATTTCCCATTTGAACATTTTAGTTCTCGGTGTTTGCAATTTAGTTCTCAATGTTTAGTAATGGGTAACCAAACTAAATACTTGCTTGGAAATAAGACATACTGAAAGAGTTAAGTCCCAAGTTGTATCTATTGCTAATTCCAGGTGTGCTTTTATCTATAGATAACAAAAATTTATACACAGGTGCTCATGCATGCACACACATGTATACATACGTATGTATTTTAGGGCTTATGTGTCTTCTTCACTGTTCTGAAGCCATCCTGCCTAAAAAAGTTGATGGTGCCTTAGAGGCAAACTAAGAGAAAAACATAGCAACAATAACAAGTAAAACAGAACTTAGAAATTCCATGTTCCTATCCCTGCTGTGGCCCACATGTGATTCAGGCCCTGAGACAGGATATTTAGATTCAGTGTGAGTATGTCTCATGCGTTCTTCAGTTAAAGAGAGATGGAGAAGAAAATGGACCCAAATGACAGTGATGAGTATCTTTGCCAAATTCCCTGTAGGTTATGAGAATCCTAGACCTTCACCAGGCATAGGATTCTTTCCATCCCTGTTTCATATTTTCTTCCTTTCTCTCTTTCAATAAGTAGAAAAAACACATGTTCTTTCATCTTGCTTTAAATTTCAAAATAAATTTAGCATTATGTCTAAAAACAAAGCAAAGCAAGAATAATTTTAATAATGATTCATAAATCTTCCTTTCCTAACCACAATTGTTATCTCTACCTCGGAAAAGTCATCGTACCTCTGCCATTTTGCTCAGAATATGAAGAACTACTGAGCTCAACCAGCAGGGAAAACAACTTTCTCTGATACTACAGAACAATAATTGATACTAAGCCAATTATTTTACTTAATTAAATAACTAAGTCAGTCAAAACTGGCAGTCAATTTTCCCCATGGCACATAGAGGCACAGAGACTAATAAAGCATTATTTTTTCTATTCAGTCTTATAATGAAAGAAAATTTGTTCTATTCAGCCTTACAATGAAAAAAATTATTTTCTATAATCTTACACTATTTTATTTCTTCTTCAGGAATGGGTACTAATTAAATAATAAAGCAAAGAAGAGGAGAAAATCAAACCTAGATAGATGATAAATAGATACATAGATAGATTTTTTTTTTTTTAATGATTCAAGGGAGTCCTGAAAGGAAACACCAGACTTGTCTTTCTGACTACAATTGAATAGACATAAAGCAAGTCGGCCTATGGAATTATTTCCATTAAAGAAAAACAAGCATATTTTCTAAAGCCAGAAAAACCTATATCTGAAAAGAAAAAAGAAACTATTCTGTCTTTCTAAATTAATAAAATAAATCTTTTTGGATAAATTATGTCAATGTTTAACTTCCTAGAAATTATTTATTAGAAGTCAGTAACCAACCCTAGCTTTTTCCTTATAGGAATCCCTGAGAACGGCCCACGCAAAGCTAAAATCCTTACTATTGAGTGTAATTGTTACTTCACAAATTCAGGCCTTTGTCACCCACACATATGCTTTGTGCATATTTTTTCATTTAACAAATGAAAAGAAAAATATTAGTCCATTTAGTTTTCACTGCAATATTATATTGTAATATACTGTTAAACACAAAAAACACTTTTAAAAAAATCTCAAATGCATAATGACTGAATAGAAACTTTGAATCAATTTTCCTATATCTAATGAAGATCCCTAGCTTTGAAACAAAATAGATGAAACCCAGAAATATCTTTTCTTACAGTATCAATAAGGCATTTTACCTCTGTGTATCCTACTAAAAGATTAACAGATAGTTTAGAAGTTAAAATACTTAATTCTCAATGATATCTGCATACTTAATGTTTTTTGTTTTTTTGTTTTTGAGACAGAGTATCGCACTGTCTCCCAGGCTGTAGTGTAGTGGCCAATAAGAAATACTTGAACAACTGCATTTTGTGGATTTGCAAAGTAAAAATTTCCTCATTTTTTGTTGATGGGATAGAAAAGGCACAGTTTTTAAGTAGACAAAATATCTCTGAACCAGTCTCCCATTTCCTGGCCACTCTAATCATAACCTTAAATCTGGACCCTTCTGCTACCCTCAGGACTCCTGAAGCTTCTCACTGAGTCATTCAAACCAGGTTTCCCCTCCAACTAGCAATCCGTTTGGTCTAGCTCTTAATCTATCTCCCACTCTGATAAGTTATACTTCTGAGTCTTCTCTAAAAGACAAAGTAAAATATCTTCATGGAAATGTAACAACGTCTAATAATATCCTCACTATTTTAACAGAGACTTTCTATGAACAATCACTTTACCCAAAGTCATTCCAAAATACAGGAAATTTGGATTCATTTGGAGAGAAAATTGGGAACAGGAAAATCTTACCATTTTTCCACTGTAAAATAAACATATGCAGATTCTTTCTATCATAAAGAGCTTGTATTGCTTTCTACAAAATACAGAAGGGTGGAAAAGTGAAAGACCATTAAGTATCAAGCTAACCAATTGAAACATAATCAGTAATGTAGCTTCTTGTTCACTTATGGAGATACAGTTCCCCCTCAAAAAAAGTTAGGACATTGATGAAAATGTATATAGGCATTTCTAATGCAAATAAAAAATTGGAATGTAATCCAAACAATTGCTGCCTCATTTTCCTCTATAAACCATTCCCTAAAATATTCACTTGAATTAGTGAGAAATATGGAATTGGTTGCAGATTTCATAGGGAATGAGGAGGAAAATGTTTGCATCATAAAAACCACCCTAGGTCACCATCTTTGGCTTGTCCCACATTTTAAGTCCCTCTGCCCTCAAATCTCCCATGATGAAAGAGTCCCTCTCCCTGACTTTCCTTATATTACACTGGGCCTCTGGGATTTATATACATTCAAATTTCCCAATCTTTTACTTTAAATTTCTCAATTCTTTGCTGTGCAGGTAAATTCACTTCAGGGTCACTTTCTAGCTGCAGACTTGGACACGCAGATCTGCATATATCGCTATGCCATATGGGTCAAATTGGACTTAATTATCTTTAAGGATCTTTCTACCTTGAACATTCTGCAATTCCATGTTTTCACTGTGACAGTCTTATTGAATGAGAAAAGGACCTGAGTAGTAGGAAAGAATATATCAAGTTAGGCAATTAGGAATCAAGTTTGAGAGCTTGCTCCTTCCTAAGTCTCACAATTGCTCCTCAAGTATTATGTGCTAGCTAGTCCAGCTTAATATTTTTAAAGAGTAAAAAGATCATTTAAACTTATCTAAACTATACTGAGACCTTCTCATATCTTTTTATTAAGTTTCTCAAATGCAAGAAAAATATAGCTAATGTCTGCAATCCATGCTTATCCAGTCTTAAATTAACAACTAATAGAATGCATGTAAAGTGAAATTAATACTAATCCTGTCTCATAAGGATAGCCACAGATGGAAATTAAACAAATAAATGCACTTTGAGTCTATTCATAGTCTATATTTTAAACATGAAATTCAAGAAACTTGTTATGTAAACAAAGTTTAAAGTTACAAAATTGAACTTTATAAACCTTCTGTAAAACAACTAAGGTTGTATAGCTAAAATAGTCTCATGTTGAAATTTTAGTGGCTAGAGTTTAGAATGTTTTTATTAAAAGGTATTTTTTTTCTCCTCGATGTCTTCTATAACTTTAGACTTTGTGAGGTGTTTTGTAATCTTTTAGTGCCAGCTCTTAGCTAAAACTTTCTCAACCCATAACGCAGCTGAACCTTGGAATTTAAGTCTTGAAATTCTCACGAGTTTTCCAAGTAGCTATGTGTGCACCAACATCAATAAACGAATTATTTGATTCATAAAAAACAAGTTTTAAGAAACATATTAAATAAATAATTGGCATATGTTCACCTTGTTGAGAGAAATTCATCTCTAGCCTAATTATAATAAACTACATAATATAAATGCTTTTAAAATAATTGTAAAACATTGTTGGGTATATAAGCATTGAATTGTTTCATATTAGTTTTTTATTATATAGATATTGAAAAGAATAAAATTATTTTGTTAGAATAATACTTTGAAATTTTGGTTTGCTAAAATCATTCACTCAATAATAATATATTGCCACAAAAATGTGCATTTAAATAAAATAAAGAACTAATTTTAGTAACATATAATGATGACAATGGCACTCTACTTCCAAAATGCTTCTGATTTACAGTAGGGACATATCCCATATATTTATCAGCAATACCTTAAGTTACTAGATAAAATACAGATAATTATTATTTTTATTCAATTTTAATTTTTAAATTTATACTGTTTACTCAGTTATTAATGTCTGAAAAACCAATGGCTGTGTTGAAAGCATTTAATGTCTTGAAAGCAAATGACTGTGTTGATGAGTCCAAACTTATATCTGCAGTTACATAAAAAATTGGCAAAAATGCACATGAGGAGTGATGACATCTAAAAGCAAATATTGCCTGGCATCAACAAACATGCTAATTATTTAACAGCAGCATTCTTGTTGACAGGGCACAATCCAATCCACAAGAAAATGTTTCATACTTATTTTAAGGAGTTGATTTCAAGGCACTCACAATCTAACAGGGGAGACAAACATAGTAAGATAATTATAATGCAACATTATAAATTACTATGCAGGTAGAATACAAGGCACTCCTGGGATAACAAGGAAGCAGTGGAGGAGAAGCTCTAAATCCAAGGGAAATCTCATGCATAAATAAGCTGTGTGGGCTCTAACCTCCTTAGTTACCTATGCAATCTAACGGACTTCTAA